GAAAAATCATAAAGGCAATATTTCAATCACATGAATAGTTATAATAATCTGAAACACTAATTTCAATTAGTTGATTATTTTCATGACATTAATATGTGTAATTGTAATTTTGATTAATCAGTTACCTTACTTAACATCACCTGATGCTCTTAGGTAATCAGTTATGTTGATTAATTGCCTAGCTCTACTGCTACATTTAATCTAAAAACACTATATTCACAAAAACTGGATAATATCAATATATTATGATAAAGGTTTTTACAAATTTTCATAATTACAGTTTAGGTTTCCTCAAAAAATTAATACTGCTTTTAGTGATAAGACAACTTACCAATGGAAGTAGCTTGTTTAATGTCTTCATAAGAAAACTGATCACCATCATTGAATAATAACAATACCAGAGCTTGAAACAAAGAAACCTGCAATTCTTTGTTACCCTATGGAAAAATGTTTTGCTCACATATTAACAGGACTATTTTAAATGTAATACATCAGTAATATTGTAATTTTGCCTATTATTACAGCGTATCCTCTAACAACTGTAAAATAAAATGTAATAAATTTTTCTGCATGTAATTTCATATAATTGTAAAGAGACTGGTAAAATCTTCATGTATATACAGGGCTTCCAAGTAAGCTTTAAACTATAAGGTGAGAAGTAACTTCATTCATGTTTAGATTTTCCAGATACATTTTTACTATGGATGAGAAGTTATGTCATTACTTTTAAAGAGATTTCTTACATTATGGAATGAGAACTAACAACACTCATGTATGAAACTTTCAGAGAAAGGAAATGTATTATTCCAAAGAAATTCTGTAATATCACGAGTTCAGAGTAATTTTAACTGACCTTTTTTTTTAATCCATTCTTTACTAAAAGTTGTTTTTTGCAATTATTACTAATAGAACAATTTCATTCACACTTTACAAGTTTAATTTTTGTTTTTCTACTTAATAACTTCTGGTGTTTGTTGAAGCTATTAGTCAAATAGGAAAATTAAGTAGTACCTCAAAGCACCTAGTGTCTTATTTTTTGAAAATTTAAAAGTCACAATGCCGGATTCAAACTGCATAACACATTAAGTGTCATACTGTAATACACAACCCATCACACTAACCACTAGGCCATGTCTGGCTCAGTAATTTTAATACTTTGTTTTTATTTTTAACAGTTGATAATGTTTTATCCACATGGATGGAAAAAATAAAATATTCCATAATATTTCTTAGAAAACAAGATTTGTTCATGAAATCAATTCTTTGGTATTTTAAAACTCAGTTCTTATAAAAGTTTAACGAAACCACTTATGTTTAAATGTTTTTTAAAACATATATAGAAATAGTGTTCTTACAAAAACATTAATTATTTTAGTAAAATTTTTTCTATGATATAAAATCTTTCTTACTTACAACCTAAAATATCTAAATACTTAATGCTACATACCGATGGAAATTCTGCACGAAGTACACAGTGCCCCAAATTTGGCTGCCACTGTAGTTTACGACCACTGTGTTTGCCCAAGTAGAACTTTTTGAAAATCTCTTGATACTGAACCATCTCGTGAGGCATGTGGACCTCCATAGGTTGATAAGTTGGCCAATAACCCATTGTAAGGATATTGACAGTCATGTCAATATTTCCTGAAGGACTGACATTCTGAAGATACTGTAAACAAGTACTCATTATTCTCAAGTAAAGAAGGACAAGCTAAAAGTATAGTAATATTTAATTATATTACACATGTAACAAATTAAATTTAGTCACTGCACTAGGTTACTCTGCATACAAACATAGTGTTACCTTCAAGTGCTATAAATAAACATGATCAAATAAGTATGAAACTATCTCAAATAATTATCATTACAAAAAGTAACACATTTTGAACCAGGCTGAAATTTTATTAAAAAAAATAATTTATCTTAAATTTGGATATCTTGCATAAATTATTAACAACATACTACTACCCACTTTCCTAAAATTATTTTGAAACTAAACACATATATTTCCTCTTTTCTTTCACTTCCATATATCTATGAACTTATTTAAATAATTGCAAATTTGATCTTGCAAACCTACTGTAATAATTTTTTTTATAATGATAATATTTATGTGATCATTAAACATTTAAAAAACAAAGCATTAAGTAAAACTATTATATGCAGTAATCTATATCACACTGTAACCAAGAAACACATTTTGAGTAAGTTAATTTCTGGACCTACTGTACAGACAAGCACATTTACAAGTACCTGAATTAGACTAAAAGTCTTTGACATTCTGCATTTAGCAAAACCAATATTCAAGTGATCCACTGTGTTTAATAAATGGGGTTCATAAGTGACATACAGAAGTGATTTAGTCAGTAGCACTTACTACCAACTTTTGGGCAGTTCTGTTCTACTTGAATGGTGGAATTTGACTAACACTTTTAAAAGCATATTCATGGCCACAAAAAGAAGTGAATCATGAACCACTGCATTCATAGTCCAAGCAATCTAACTGCTATGAAGTCTCACCTGGCCAGTTTTTGTCAAATTAATGACATGTGAAAACTAAGAATTGTGTTTCTTAAGAAGCTTAACATTACTAATCACAGAAATTTGCACCATTCAACTATTTTATACAGTAGCTTTGCAAGTCTTTAAAAAGGTTATATGTTTATCGTCATTACACAAGGAAAACTAAGTATAACAGCTATCTTCTTATACTGTAGGTTTATTACATCTTCAAAGTTAGATGCCTTGTAGCTTTACAAATTCATATAAAAGATGGAAGAACATGAATGATGATTACAAGGACAGTGTTTGGTAATGATAAAAATTAATTGGAAATAAATACAAGGAGACAAATATAAATTTAAAATTGTACTTCAGCATATTAGTATTCTTATAGTGAGAGCTGCACAGATTAAGATCATACATTAGTTACATGTTTACCAAAATGTTCAAAGTTAACAATGATTGCACATAGGGTTGCGAGTGAAGGTGAACATTAAGGTTATTGGGAAAGATGTAAAAACATATAAAACAATATAAAGTTCATCTATAGTTTCCTATCATAGAGCATGAAAATAAATGAAACTATGATAGTTAAAGAAAAGACTACATAAGGCATCGTAGGTTTTACATGATAATAGAATACATTTCAATATCAACAAACAAGCATCTGTTTCAAAATATATTGTTTTATGGCAATTGTAACTAAATTACATCTTATTTGGCCCCTAACCAAATTCTCAGGTGATGGCCATAAACCACACTATTAACTGAAAGCTAAAAAGATAGACAATACTATCCTTCTCTATAAAGTATATTCACCATGAAGAGCAGTCAGCTTATTTAATACTACACTACTTCTGTGAACGATTACATTTATAACCGTAACAGAACAAGCCCAAATGGTCCTACTGACATACCTGTTTGAAGTTCAACATTAACTCCCTGGAAAGTTCCATATCTTTGAACATTCCTTCCAGCTTGCTAGTGAAGGCTGCTCCACATTCCTGTTTTAGTTTTGACAACATGGACTTTTCAGCATCAACAGAAGCACTCTTTCCCACTAAAAGTCTCTTAGCCAGGTCTTTCTTATAGAAAGCTTCAAAAACATCCTTGCCTAAGAAACAAAGAAATAAATCATATATGAAGAAAGAATATTTAATAAAACAATATGATTATCAGTGCCAGATTTTAATTAGGAGCAAAGTAATGAGTGAACTAGAAAAATTACAGTAAATACTATGAGTTATTTTAAACTGTAATAAAAGATATGTAGTCCAATTAAGATTTCAAATTCATATCAGCAATTAGTTTTTAATATAATTTTTTGTCTTTTTAATATTGTGTTTTACTTTGCTATATTCTATGAAAAACCTACTGTTACCCACTGATAACATAGACAACATTTGTCTTCTCTCACTTCACTTTAACCAAAATTGTTCACTGAAACTAAATTTGATTCTGAAATTTTTTGTAGTGGAAGTTTTTCTAAAGTGAAAACAACATCAGTGAAGAATACAAATACAGATTTGATACTGCCACAAAAACATCATTATACTTTTGTCACAAGCAAAAGTGGTTTAGAAATATCAATTATACTGTACATCATGGTTTAATCAATAAAAATATTATACACAAAAAATTCTCAAATAATTATTTGTGCTCTAGATGTGTAGCATATAATTAATTTAATCTGTATAATCTGAAATTTCATATATATCAAATATTTCATGTACTAAAATATCCAAATATCTTTTAGTCAGAAATGATGGAAATCAGTGATTTGTGAAAACCTAAAGAAGAGGATGTCAATGTATTTCCAAATACATACAAAGGACATGCAAACAGCATTAAGCCAGAACAGTATTCTGAAGTAACAACACAATATGACTGCAGTTAACATGCACCAAAACACCTAAAAATCCAATGGAAAGCAAAAAAACTATTTATAACACCCCTGGTTAATGTGGACTCCACTCTATCTGCAAGAGTTGGACAATTAGTAGTATCTGCTAATCAATTAATCAGCAAGTTTATGTAGAACAACTTGAAGTAAAATTCAGGTTTCGATAGCCATGGTAGGCAGAGGATAAACAGTCTATTATGTAGCTCTGTTTGCTTAATAAAAAATAATTATACTGGCAGTAGTTTAAAATGAATAGTTGGAATAATAAAAAATATGAATAATCTAAAACTCTAATTTCGATTAGTTTATTATTTTCATGAATTGTAACACTAATTAATGAAACTGAACATATTGAATGTATTGAAAATAATGAAAACTCATAATAGCAATATACTGATTACTTGTTAACTGGAATAATCAAGCACAGTAACAACCAGAAATGCTAATTTCAGACAATCAAAAACACAACTTTGATCACTTGATTATTTTCATGACATTAATTGAGTTAATAATAATTTCAATTGATCAATTATTGTATGTGACACTAACTAATGTAATCATTGCTCATAAGTATTCAATTTTATCGGTCACCCAGCTCTATCTGCAATAGAACATAATATCAGAGAAGAAAAACCATACAATAAATTGGAATAATACTATAAGAATGGGATACAAGTTACACACACAACAAAGAATGGTAAAAGAAGCCTTCAACATTCACCTAACTGATAATACATTCAGCCAACATAGCACAGAAGTCACCAAATCAGGATTTCCATTTTGAAACTATCCAAACAAAATAGCTGATTAATGTCCTAACAAGACCCAGAAGAAAGGATAGCACACCAGCAACTCTATAACAAAGACAAAGAACTAAATCCTGGCCATTATCACCATAGAAATAGTCTTTCTTAAAAGTTCTCTGAAAATGGCACAAAATTAAATTCAAAGAGTTGGGTTGTAATATGAGCTTGAAAGTTCATTTCTTACATACACATATTGACTATTTCCCTGAAAATACTGGTGCCGTCAGCAAAGAACAAGGGAAAAGGTTTCATCAAGACATCAGGGAAATGGAGAGGAGGTATCAGGGAAGATGGAACATCAGCATGGTGGCTGATTACTGCTGTTCATTGAAATGAGATGTTCCAGACGCAATACATAAAAGACCATAACACACAGTTTGGAGACTAAAAGATGTAGATTTTACAAACAAAATCAGGATGAATGAGGATGCATATTCGTTTGACATCAATGTTCTTCTGCTTTTTTCAGTTTCTTTGTATTTTTGTTAAAAAGCAATAATAATAATAATAATAAATGTTCATTGTGGTAAACGAAATAATTTGGTTTAAGTAAGATTTTTTCTTCTTTCCAATTTGTATAAAATCTTTATGCGATAGAAAAAAATGAAAATCATATTTCAAAATCTGCATGGCTGAATATGGAAAATCTGTTATTAAAACCAAAACAACTTTTATGAAGTTTAAATTCACAGGCTTGTGCAATTTTAGTACATATTTTAGTTACTGGTAGTATATGATTATAGTAAAAAATTTTAAGTGTTCACCAGGTATTGAATAAATAATACCTGTAAATTAGAATAATCATGTATTCTGGAAAGTTGCCAAAACTCCTTGAAACTGATGACATGGATACAACACACAAAATTGAACAAAACTTGAGATACTACTATACAACAGAAACTACTAAAAATAGAATTACAAGAACAAACAAGTGGAATTAACTGTTAACTGATGAACTCAAGTTTCATCATTTCTATTGGAATTTACTTACTTTTGTTTTATTATTAATTTCTAATGGGACACAAGTAACACTAAGTAAAGTTGTGTCTATATCTTACCATGAATAAATCGAAACAAAACCATTATTTTGTCCAATAACCTTTCTAGTTCCTCTTCTGTTGCTTCCTAAAATTCAAGGTAAATTAATTAATTTTACAAAAGTGTACACGCAGGTCAAACAACATTACGTATGGCAACAACTCTAGAAATACGGTGAAATGAAAAAAATATACATTTCACATCTGTGTCACGTAAAATTGCACCAGTGTTTCAAAATTTACAATATACACTGATTTTATGTTTTCAATTCACTCATCAACTACTTTCACCTTGGGATATTTATTCCTGTTTTATTATTATTATTAAACTCACAATAAAATTTGACACCAGTTTTAAAATATAAATGTCAGTTGAATTACTAGATATTTACCAGTCATAAATTTGACTATACACTATAGTTCTTGCAGTGAAAGTATTTATAACAAAAATTAATGTAAAATTTTAGTTAAAACAAAAGTTATAAATTGTATTTAGTCACAGAACTGAATTTTGATTTTACCGTTAATACTACAAAGGTTTGGTTGAATTAAAAAAAATAAATGAAAATGGCAATACAATTTAATGAGCATTTTCATACTTGTATATAATGTATTAAAAATAATCTTATATCGTGAAAGAACTAAGCTTTTCTTTTTCAAAGTTGAAAAATTGCCAAATGAACCCAGTAATAATCAAAGAATTGTATTGTGGATTTTCCCTATCCTATTTTTTTCACATTATTACTATCTTTCATGTTTGAAGAAAATTGAAGTCAGTTTTGTCTTCTTCTTTCTTTTCTTTATTACATTTCACATTACCTGAAATTCTGGTATGTTTCCCACTGGTCTCCCCTTTTTTTCTAAAAAAATACTTCAATTCACATATTATTAAAAAATGTAATGAAAATTTCTTTGCATTATCAAGTTTCTTTACTAAGTGATTCAAAATTACATTTTTTTTTCTGTTTTTGGTTTTGTTACAGAACAAACACCTGATTAATTATTATTAAGATTACAGCTTCAGTAACCTGAAATTCTAAGTTTGATTAGTCCAAAAAAAAACAACATAAAAAAAATTAAAATCTAGCCATAAAGAACATTAAGAGGTAAATTTAACACTGAAACGTGTTCAAATTCAGCATATAAAATTGAAAAAAAAAAAAAAAAAAAGTCAAATATATTATTAAGACATCAACTATAAGTTTACCTTGTTTCCTGCACGAAGTTTTGAATCCACAAACTTAGCTGTAAATTTATGAGATTTCAAAAAATGAAAAATAACATAACAGATAGATAATGAAAATTGAAATATTTTATATAAATGTTTGAGGTATCCCCCACAATACAAAATTTAAAATTCAAAAACAGCTAAAATGGAATAGAAAAAAATTCATCATTTTGGTTTTGTCGTTTTTAAATGATGCATTTTTCTCTCTCATTTTAGCTGTTTTTTAATTTTAAAATATTACATAATTAAGGGAAGAAAGTCAAAATGATCTCCTGAGAGCAATGACAATATTTATAAATCACACAACAATAAAATATTCAACCACAACTGACAGAAGTTATTAAAAATAAATTATTAAAATTAAAGCATTATCACTGTAGCTAATTAAGCTCTATCAATGTGTTCAAAAGCTGTACAAAATATATTTAGTTGCTTTATTTAGCATTATAAACAACCGAACTGCAATGAATTAATTTTTTTCCCATTCTAATACTCTGGTTTAAGATTTTATTATTATAAAGTTTAAAATCAAAAGATGTGTACTATATACCACTGGTCAGAGTTTTTAAAAGATAATTTTTTAGAAAACGTTTTGACTACAAATATTTTTGAAAAATAAAACAAAAATACACTGATTTCATTCAGTAAAATAACCCTTACTGAACCTTATTAGTCTATAAAAACATTTAAAAATACAATTAATGACTTTAGCTTACCTATTAATTCAGCAGGTTTGTTAGGTCTCTGGTTTATAAAGTACTCAAAAGCTTCTTTTAAAGAATAAACAAATTTCTCATTCTTATGAAAACAATCAATGACCACAGTGTCCAGTTGATCTTTGAAATCTAGAAGTTCTTGTACCATGGTTTTGTCTTTTTCTGGATTTGTTACTATAACCCGACCTTTTTTCTGAAAACAGAGAGTTAATTAATTTAATACAACTGAAAGTAAGGCCTTTAGGTGTCTAGAATGACCAATAAATGTGATTTTATGTCACATGGTGAAATAATTAAATGTCACTTTTGCCAGCTTAACAACTTATGTTGACAAATCAAATTTAAAAAACAATATATGTAATTTAGCAGTTACAAAAGTCATCAATACACCTAGGTCTGACCCAAATAACATAACAAGTCATACACATGTGAATATCACGAATCATTTACACACAGTCATTTCCAATAAATTACCTTTATAAATACAATTAATACTCTAACAATATCAAAATTGTAAAAACAACTTACTTCAAAATCAAGTATTTTATGAAAGTTAAAATTACAGCCTTTCAAAAATAAGGTTTGGAATTTTAAAACTTCTGTATCACATACTTCTTATCTGGGCAAGTATATTCACATGAAGTATTGTATCTTATTGAAATTTTTACCACCAGTTAGTAGTTTATCAGATTTGACAATCTATTTTTCATTGTCAATTTTTATCCCTAGTTTCTGACCCTATATGGGTGACTCAGATACAAATTGACTGACAAATATTTCAAAATGTAAAGATACAGGAATATAATTGTTAGTATTATGGAATGAGTTGTCGGGAGTCTACTCTGTGATAAATATCACTGAGGTCACAAAAGTATAATAGAACTCTCTTTTCTAGTCATCTCTTATTACGAACTGATAAATATCTATTATAGTGGGATTTTACAATACTTTTATAATCCATCCACAGCCCCAAATCTAGGAGTGCATTTTTTGTATGTGTGGCAACAGGATATAAACCATGGACCCTTGAATCCACATACCAACAGAATATTATCTGGAAGAGCACTTACCTTGATATATTGATTAAAATAGGAACACAGCTCTGGCAATCCATCCTTGACTCGAGAAAACAGGCTATACATCAAACTTAGATCACTTATACGGTTTTCTTCTAACAACTGATCTAGACCTTTTTGAAGAATACTAGAAAGGTGTTCACCCAATAATTGTCTTTCTACAGTCTGAATTAAAGCTTTTCTAGAGAGAAAAAACCAGATCAAAAACATTTCACCATCTGTGTGGTTACTCTGCTGTAAATGTAACACATACTCATAATACGTATTTAGAGACACTCATTTTCATCTGTTTCGAGAAAGAGTCAGAGTAGAGAATTTTTCAAGCAGTGGCTTAAAATTTGGTTAAAAATATCTGTATATTGAAACTTAGGTTTACACAACAACAACAACAAATTATAACTTGAAAAATAAAATTATGTCTGTACTAGTGCTTTTGAGGCAGACTGATAGCATTATGACTCATTATCACAGGTATTAATTTAGCAATTCCTTTTTTTGATCAATAAGCTGGAGTTCTCAGTAAAAAACGAAATTAAAAATATTATTTAATCATTACCAAGTAAAAAGAAAATGAAATTACTTGACAGTAAAAATTACATTAAGATGACCTAATAATGGAATTTAGCTAACCATTATCAATTTTTCTCTATATCCTCCCATCTGCTCAGTTTTATTGAAAAAACAAAATCAAGAAATGATGTCAATTTATTTTATCCTAAATAAATATTCCAAGAGTACAGATTAAAGATTAGATTACTTTTTTTTTTAACTAGATCACCTCCAATTCTGTGGATTCAACATACCTATTGAGTAGTTTGTTTTATTGCACTGTGAAAAAAGAAAATACTGGCTGAAATTGTTTGAAACTTCAAAGGAACTTCCTATATATTATGGAGAATTTGCAAATAAAAGTCATTATTTTTATATGTAATATTTGTATGTTTCTTTATTGTCAAGCGAAAAAGGTACACAATGAGCTGTCTGTGCTCTGTCCACCATAGATATCAAAACCCAATTTACAGCATTAAAAGCTTCCAGACTAAAAAAGAAATGTTTTTCATAAGGTAACCTTAGTTAAATCATTTTGCACTTCACTAATAAATTTTGTTTTGCTGATATTAGACCTTAATGGCCTAATAACTTCTTGAATGGACAGAGAAAGCTACTGTAAAGAAATGAAAAAAAAAGTAATGTGTGTATATATATATATATATATAGTGAGTCAGTGGTTATCATAATGCAACATCATAATTCCAATGAACTCTCAAATTATAAACAAACCTTTGCAAACTTTAAAAAAATCTAATTATATTAATAGCAAGAAAATTTTTGGAAATTGGACATTTTTTTTTTTTCATACATAACCATGGCAGCACTACGGAAGAAAATGTTACACATGTTAACTTACTTAGTTGAGTGGTCCAGATAATAAAGTAGCCTCTCCCATTCTTCATTTAATCTTTTATCAACATGTCTCAAATAAAGAGGAACTTCTTGTTCCTGCATCAATCTTTGACCTTCACTCGCATAAAGTTCTTCTGTAGCCTTCAAGAAACGACCTTCAAATGTTTCTTGATAAATCTGTTCAACCACAAACATAACTTTGAATTAACTCTTTCAATACAGGGTTGGTCAATGTAATTAGCTCATAACCATTTTGTGCTTGTTATAGTTTTCATGCTATAACTTTTAACTTAGTAAGCGAATGTTAACAAAATTTGGCAGATTATCAGTAAATATTACAATTCTTTCATATACAAAATATCTAATTTTTTTTTTTATTAAGTCATAAGGTTTGTAAAGCAATGTTTCTCTCATGCCTTTTGTTTTTCTTTTCACATCTAGCCTATCTATCATGCAGAGTAATTTTAATTTTAAGAATAAAAATACTTTTATGCATCAGAAAATTTTGAAATTTCACATGTGAAATCTTTATAATGTTAGGATAGTTATCAAATGTTTTTTAAGAAAAAACTTTATATATTTTATCTGTTATTTTCAGTAATTAATTTCTATACGGGTTCAGTAGATTTGAACGATCTCACAACCACCATAAAAAATTAGGAAATAAACATAAATTATGTCTCTTTCATTCTAGAATGAACACAAATTGTAACATGAAAACATAAATGCTTTGCCAAAATAGCTTAAATCT